AACAGCGCCTAGTTGTTTTTTCTCTCTATCTCTGAGATGAGTTGTTATTACTTTTCTTCAATATTGTCATGTCGCTTCTTTCCTATTTCTTCTACTTTCACCATTCCTAATGGTTGTTACTACTCCTTAATATTGAAACATCACTTCTACTCCACTCCTCCTTCTCCCATCGCACTTAATAATTCTTGGATTGGAAAAACTAAAGAAACCGTTATATCAAATAAAGAAGTAATTATTATATTTGGTAGATTGATTAGTGGTGTAGCAGTAATCTGTACATTTGTAATTAGAAACAATTGGTACTCTACTGCTTTCTTTCTTTTCTTTTTGTTTTTATGTGTAGCTCGTAATTTGCTCGTAATTTGCTTTTTTACAATTAATTGTTAATTCTTTAAATAGGAAATTAAAAAATGAAATTGACATATTGAAAGAAAAACAAGAAAAAGAAGTTAGTGTATTGAGAGAAAAGCAAGAAAAAGAAGTTAGTGTATTGAGAGAAAGGCAAGAAGTATTGAGAGAAAAGCAAAATGGTTTAAGAAATAAATTCATAGCTATTCTGGAAGGATTGGTGTGTTACTTTCCGTTCAAATGTACTTTTTTCCCTACATATTACAGATCTTCTAACTCTCTTCTCCGAAACAGCGAGATGTAAATCATGTCTACAATACTAATTGGGGTGCAATTTTAAATAAAGACCAGATCGTAATTCCTAAGATAGAAAAGAGAACTTAGTTTTCTGTTAAATGTTTAATGCATATTTTCAAATAAAATTCAAGTAATTGTAATTTAAAAATCTCCAGCATTGCTATACAATACTGTGACTAGAAATTGATTTTAGAGAAGTAAATGATTTGTTACTGGGATTCTTGAATCTTAATGTTGATTAAATAATAGGAACGGTGTTTTTCTAATGATGGTACCCGATTGAAAAAATGCTACCTGGCAGGGACACAGAAATTATGTAATTTAGTGTGATTAAACAAAATCACACTAAATCGCATAATTTTGCTTCACTTATATTACGTTAATATCATGTGCATCCATTTTAAATTGTTAGTATCGTAATGTTTAAAATGTATAATAAACTATGATATTCTATATAGTAGTATATTAATTTATATGGTATGCTAAAACACTATAAATAAATTCGTCTTCAAAATTAGAAGTGAACTTTTCTATTTTTAATAGTTCAAAAGAACAATGAGTACTTGATTTAAAAATAACAATTAAGGTAATATCATTAACTATAAATAATTGTATTTTTTAGATTAATTACTCTGATATGCTTACAAATTTTTATTAAAGTGTTTTTTTAATAACAAAAAATGAATCAGAAACAGACAAATTTTTGTTTAGTTGAACGCAATATTTAAACAAATTTTTAGTAAAGTGTTTTTTTTAACAATATATAATTAGAAACAGATAAGTTTTTGTTTAGTTGAGCGCAGTATTTAAAAAATTGCTAGAAACGGGTAAGTTTTTGTTTTAGTTGAGCGCAGTATTTAAAAAAAATTGCTAGAAACAGGTAAGTTTTTGTTTAGTTGAGCACAGTATTTACAGTATTTAAAAAATACAAGTTTTTTTACGAGATAAAATTGCTTAGTAAACATCGTCAGTAAGAATATTTCATATATATCGTACGTATAACGATAATTTACAAATTCTTATCGCATAAATTCAACCCCTCTAGCTCACCCACAAAATTTTTTCTGGCACGTGATTTTAGCCAATTAGATTGAAGGATCAGGTGTAATATGAAAATTACACCTTTTACAAAAATTGCTAATAATTCGAAATTTTGTTTATAAAACTGCTTTATATGTTCTAACAAAAAATGAAAAAAGTTAAAAAGTAACAATATATACTTGACAAAAAGAACATCCCAATGAACTTAGAGTTGATAATAGCATACTTTTTTGTGTTTATTGTGATCATTCTATTGAATGAAACTGTAAATCAACAGTTGATAATCATTGCAATAGTAAAGCTCATTTAGCAAACAAAAAATTATATGAAAATAAAGTTCAAACTACATATCAACAAACTCTTGAAGCTTCAATTTTTGCAAGTAAAATAAAAAAAACTGTAATTGAAGATTTAATTAATGCATTTGCTAGTACAAATATTTCTTTAGAAAAGGTTGATCATCTATTACCCTTTTTTAAAAAATACTTATATAAAGAAAGTGCTATTCCATATACTACAACTTTATGATAGCTGTATTTGCCACAAGTTTTTTCATACCATTATAAAAATTTAGTTTCAATTTTTATAAACAAACCTGTTGCAATTCTAATAAATAATACTACTGATGATTGTTCTTGAAGTGTGATTAATATAATTTTTTCTTATAAAAATAATACAAAATTAGGTTTTGTAGAATTTTTATTTCAAGTTAATTTTTTTTTTGGTGTTAAGGTGACCTCTTGGCCGGTTCTCTTTATTCAGTTATGGGTTAACTTTACTATATGCTAAACTTCTTTTAGATAACCCATACACTAGGTTGACTAATGGACCAAAATGTGGCTTAGAAGATGTTAATGGACTATGTTCATTGGCCCAATAGACAATGTCTATTGATATTTTTCTCAGAGCTCATCATAGTCTATTGCCAACCCTGCCCATATATTTTTGGAGAATATATACTAGTCACATATACAACTTTTGATTGCCTATTTAAGTAGTCTATTTATTACTAAGTTCTACACTAGATGTCATACCTATAACCTAACTAGGGGTTATCTATTTAAACCCTCTGCATCTTTATATAGATCAACCCTTTTATAACCGAATTAAGATAATTCCCTTAAGATATCCAGCTTAAGATTTTAAAGCAAGCTCAACCAGTGAGTTCTTTGTTCTCGAAGTAAACCTGCTAGAGTTTTTTGTATCTACAATCCAGTTAGCCTAGACTTTAGTATTTATGCCAAGCTTATGACAAGTACTTGTGAGCTAAAGCTACTACCATTATTTACTTCTGCTCTTGTAAAGTTTACTCAAACCTCAGTACCCACTTTACAGACTATTATCCTTATTCTCTGAATCTCAAACTACTAATTCAGATAGCTCAGAAGAGACTTTTACCTACACAAGTTAGCTCAAACCAGATTACCAGTCTTCTGGTATTAACAGATCTTTTTTCTCCAGTTTCATGGTAGTCTGGTTGGTGGGATGCCTTTCTATATATCTGGTTCGTTCAATTTTTCCAGTTTTTCTAGATAATAATCCTTTACATAGTATTGTCAAAGATTTGTGCTATCTCTCTACTCAGATCTTGCCAAGCAGACATTTATCTTTCTGGTTTTTTGAATTAATATGATCTGAGAACTTTTTTTATATAACTCATATATTGCATAAATATTTTATAATTTCTCAATCTTGTTGGTGCTACCAAGATTACAGAGATCCTGTTCTAACTGATCGATGAAAGATAGTAGTTATCATATAAATAAAATATTCAAAATTTATTTTAAATTAATAATACAACCATTGGCCAAAATTGTATTAGTATTATTATAGCATTTCAAATTCTTTTATCTTTTTCATGAATTTTTGTTACTGATTCAGTGACATATATAAAAAAATCATATTGAAAAGTTTTAAAGCTATTAATATCACAACTTATCTATATTTTATGCTATGCTTATATTATAAGCTTAATTGGATAAGTATAATTAATTGAATAGAAATTATTATTTAATATTATAAATATAATAAAATATATTTTATATATTTATTTTAGTGATACGTGAAGAGTATTTTCTTATTTTGAATATGTTAAAATCTTATTTAAAAAGGTTAAAGATTATTTTATATACTTATCTTCATATAAAAATTGATATATAAATCATTTATAATTAAATAGTATTGTATTACCCCAAAAAATATCTCTTCTAGTAAAAACTCACTGGAATACTTGGTTTGAAATAGTTTTTTATACAAATAAGTATATTCAATACTGAAAATAATTTTTTAATAACAAATTATCTTTAAATTTACAATATAAAATCCTTATAGCAATTATGTCTCTTCTTAATTTTCAGAATGAATATAAGCTTATTCAAATTTATATTTCCTTTATTTCAATTTTTGCAAAACAATTTGTTTAAAATCTTGATTTTTTTCAAATATAAATAAGCTTATTTGTCTATACGTTGAAAGAAGACTTACTAATTTGATAGCTTATATTCAAAATAATCACATAGCTAATTTTTTTTGTCATAAATTAAAAGATCTAATTATATTATTAGATTTTAATCCAAAAGAGTTTTATCTGATTTTTAATAGTACTTTTAACATTGCTTATAACAAATTTTTATTCATATTCTCTAATATCTAGAATATGTACTTTTTAAAATATATCTCAAATTTTTAATCTTTTTTTATTTTTAACTTCAAATATATTATGCAAAAATATTTGTTATTATAGTATTATTACTGAATTACAGAATCTAAATAATAAATTAATTATTGAATAAGATATTTATTATGCTTTTGAATGCTCTATATTTTTTGAGAAATTTAATTTAAATTAATATTGGCTAGGTTTAATATAACAATTACCATTATTTTCTAAAATTAGTTTAGATTATATATAGCTTTTAATTTTAAGCTATTCTATAGAATGAAGCTTTTTGATATACAATATCTTTTTAGATAATAATTAGCAAAATTTATTACTTGATTTACTAAAAAGACTAACTATGCTTTATTATAATAATAATAGTTTTTAACTTTATAGGTTTTTTCTATATTATTAATTTAATTAAAAAGATTAATTAAAAAGATCAATCTGGCTAAATAGAATTTGAATTATTTTAGATAGTTACAAAAGATATATATAGTTATATATAATATAACAAATAAAAATTTAGTTTTTATATTTTTATATTTTTTTACATATATATTTTTATTTGGAAATTTTAATTTGATGCACCATGTACCGTGGTGTACCCTGATTACGGGATATAAATAGTGATTATCAACTAATTAAATCAAATGATTTTTTCATTTCAACGCGTTTTGAGT